GAGGTAGGTTGGATGAGGGGAAAGATGAGATGAGAGAGTGGTTGGATAGACTTCGCCAGAAATTGATTCAGGTGGTCCGTGTGTCTAGAAATATTTCTGATAGTAGTATTATGTTAATTCTTTGTTAATGGCTGTTTTGAGGAGTGTCTCTTCCTACTTGAGTCCCTCTGGGTGATTTGCAGGCGCTATGGCGTGATCTGCTCCTTCCTTCCTTTCAAATACAGGGTGATAAAAAAACAACTGTACACGTTTATTTCTAAATATCACTCACAAAATTTGTACAAGAATGATGTAGTTTGGAATAGATATAATTCATTCAAAATGATTTTGTCTGACATTAAGTTCACAAAGAAAAATTTTATTTTTAACGGATATGGCTTTAATAAAAACCAAAAAAAAAACCCCGCAAAATGAACCATTTTAAAAGATCTTGTAATGGAAATCATGAAATGATTGGTTTGATTTTTTCTTTTCCTTTTATTTTAAAAATCTAAATTTTCCATCCATGTAACCTTTAAACAATAATTCTTTTCTCCTACAGAGTTAAAAAAATTATTTTTTAAATTCTGAAATTCCGAGAACCAATGGTCTATGTCGTACGTCATGTTCAGTGGTTGTCAAACACAAGGATTCACTCAACCATGAGTACTCAAAGCGACGCACACTGTACATCTAACAGTATGGAGCTGTTTCTAGAGTCAATAGGGGGAGGGGTGAGGCTGCCCAAAATAGACAGCATTTGTGGAGTTGATATAACCTAAAAGGTGAATATGGGCTTTGTTAAGGAACCAAATTGTTTTTAGAGGAAATGTCCACGCTTTTCAAGACGATCGAGGAATCATGAACACAATGTCACCCTCTGATAGTTTCGCGAACGGGGAAAATGGCACAGTCGTAGATGAAGATCTGCCCTGAGATTGAGTACCTTTGAGATGAAGGAAAGACAATCGTCTACGGACAGACGTCTCATGGGGCTTATCTACTGAATTCTGCCCCGGGGTGACTTTAAAAGGGAAAAGGGTGCGAATGGTGTGTGTTTGACCTGGAATGGTCGTTTTGTCCAGGAGTTTTTAGTCCTGATTCTCTACAGGTACTAACTGAGGAACCATTTCCACCCTTGACTTCAAAGAAGGCCTTAGGAGCCCTTTAACATTTTTTTTGTACCGTGTGCGAAACTTACGAAATGGGTTGGTGGTGACGAAATGTTTAATACAAAAAGCTCTCTGCTCTTTACTTATCTTAACCATGATCTCAGCAGACAAAGGAAACGTGTTAAAATATCTGCAAACTTTTGTTGGCCTGTTAGACTACTGCAGTACGCAGTATGGCTCAATCATTGGCATTTTTAGTGGTAGGCCTAATACGAACTAGTGCGCCATGCTACACAAATGTGGACATAGCTGAAAGTGAGTTGTTGTTCTTTTCGCGCTCTGTAAATCAAAAGTATTCCGTGGATTTTTATAAAATGAATATCAGACAAATTTATTTTGACTTCCAAATGTTGTGTACAAATATGAAGTGCCAAACGTCAATGTGGAGGAAAATATTAACAAAAATAGTTGTACAGGTTTTTCTTTGGATCCCCCTGTACCTGTTGTCATCCTTTTTCTTTACTTTCCTTGTATGTTACTGCCTTGTAAAACCGGCATTTATATGACAAAGGTGTATTACAAGTGATGTAAAACTCGCACTAAAGCTAAACTAAACATGTGACTTTTCTCATCTGTCAGGCAACAAAGTTCCTTGCCCTCTGGGCAAGTGGTCAGCAACAGGCTTAGCTCCTTGCAAAGGTAATAAGACAATATTTTTGCCATTATGTGAGTAGGTTTTTTTTTGTTTTTTTTAGTTAAGTTATTATTTGGTGGTGACAAAGTCATCACTTTATCGTCTGCAAGTTGTTCAAAAATAAAATGCCCAGAAAGCAACAGTTTTCATTGGAGAAACAAAAAACCTGCTTCATTCCTTTAGCGGTTGTAGTTATACCTCTTTTGTTTTTGTTGTTGTTGGTATATTTTTAAACATTGTTATTTTTTTGTTTTTGTAGGGGGGGTTTTGCTAGGGGATTGGGTTCTTTTCTTTTTTTGTTGTTGTTGTTTCAACGTTTAGAATATAAACTGCGACAAAATATTTCCTGAGTACATGCAACTGATATCACAGATTAAGTAATTGCATTTTTAAAAATCAACATCTTGGGCTAAGTATATTATCAGAACAGCTGGACAACAATATTATTGTGACCTGATGTACTAACGCGTGTGCTGTTTGAAAGTAATCGCTACCAAAGAATTACAAATTTTGTCTGACATTTTTTGACCGTTTTCAGTTACTAAGACACGACATCAAAAGCAGAATGTTCTATCTCCTCTATCAAAATCGTATGATTACTCGGAATCTGTATCAAGATTTTCAAATAATTGCATTCCATAAAAAGCTTGACATGACACTAGAGACGGAGCAGACAGAGCTGTGTAATTCTGAAGTAGCGAGAGGTCAATTGACATGTAGCTTTGTACGTCTATTTTACTTTGGCTTTGTTTCTTTCACTTCCCCTGCGTAACAGGTTTATTTTAAACAACAACAGCAAGAAGATGAAGAAGAGAAAGAAGAAGAAGAAGAAGAAAAAGAAGAAGAAGAAGAAGAAGAAGAAGAAAAAGAAGAAGAAGAAGAAGAAGAAGAAGAAGAAGAAGAAGAAGAAGAAGAAGAAAAAGAACAACAACAACAACAACAACAACAACAACAACAACACAACAACAACAGCAACAACAAAAAGAGTGATAGCAACAGCTGTACAATCTACTCCCAAAGTCAAAATTTTATACACTTTTTGCACTTTTCAGAAACATACTATTTCTATTCCTCCGCATGGCATTCTGCAAAATTTTTATTCCCTCCGTCCCTCTGTCCGTCTTATTTCTCTCTCTGCTACCCCTATCCCCCCTTGTCTCCTCTCCCTCTCACATCCTTTTGTCTCTCTCTATCTCTCCCTCCTCTCCCTGTCAACACGTTACACCCCCACCACGTTTTTTCTCCCCCTCTCTCAACCTGTCTATCCTCCACGTCATATCCTGCTCTCTATCTGCTTCTCCCCTTCTTAACCCTCCCCCCCCCTGTATTCTCATCCTTTCCCCACCTCTCTCTACTCCCCTTTTCATCTCTCCCCTCTCTTCATTATTCTCCCCCTCTCCCCCTCACCTCCTTTCAGACGCCTTCCCATTGATCACCACGGAGCCAAAGCTGTCTGACCCAATCATCGACCCCAACAACAAAGCGTTCCACTTCAACTGTGAGGTCCAGTACCCCAAACACGACCCCGACCAGCGGTTTGAGGTAAAACAGATGGATACCCTAGAATTACAAAGTACTAATGAAGATGACAATAACACAAGAGTGCCTTATGCCATATAATAGCACAAGTACATTATTTTTTAGAAATTTATTTGATTTTAAAAATGTTGAGTTTCCCACGTCTGAAACATTTTTGAATGCAAATCTTGGAGTATCTTGATAACGACTCCAAATAATCTTACGATTTTGATGGAGCAGATGAGAGCATTTCATTTTGGTTTCTGACCTCGTGGTCTTAGTAATTCAAAACGATCAAAAACTCCAGATAGTATATTTTTGTAATTCCAAGGTAGCGAGATGTTAACATTTCAGTAAAAATAAATTAGGTCTCGATCCCCTCTTTCTCAAAATAAGGTGAAGTGTCGTTCTTGTATTGGCGGGCAGCAGCTGTCCAGATATTATTATACTAAGCTGGACATTTGTGGTATTTTTATTTATTTATTTATTTATATGTTGTTGTTTTTTGTTTCTTTCTTATTGTTGTCTTTTTTTTTGGGGGGGGGGGGTGGATGCTGGTGGTCACAGAACATTTTAGTCCTAGATCTAGTTGAAATTCTAAATAATGAAAAAGGAAATAAAGATACACAATTTTTTAGGGGATGAAATTGTTTTCTCTTTCCTTAAGAACTGCTTAGTTTATTTGAACTGCTTGTGGACAATATGACATCATCGCGATTGAAAGTGCCTGTCACAAATAGGGCGCATTGAAGGTTAACTATTGAACGTATCATTTGACTTAATTTGGCCAAATAAAGGGGAACAAATGGGACAAGGGGAAGGGTTGTCATGCCTCAGGAAACTCGACCATAGTGAAAATGGTTTCTTGCCCTGCTTAATGTTGTGTCATTTTACTATGGCTCGCACGCTTCGCAGTGAATTTTACAGTTATTTAAAAGCAAAGTGCGACGGCCATGATAGTGTTTGTCTAGGTGTACAATTCTATGGTCTAGGTTGTAAGTGATGACCCTGAATATGCTTATAAGGTCACGTAAGTTTCAGTTTGACATCTAAAGTTTACGTTAAACCTCAATATTTGATAAGATTCTTTTACTGTTCACAAGAAGTGTTAAATAATAAATACATGTTTTTAAAATGATCTTGACTCGTGAAGGACGAGGCAAGTCAAGTACATGTCCGTTCAGCAGCATACCCCCAAAAAAATAACGTGCTGCAAATTTAGAACCATTATACACAAATTTGGAATACGAATTTTTGATATATTTGATAGTATGCACGTCGTTGCTTGCCTTTTAACAAAATTGAAAAGATTGTATAGATAAAGAAGCTAGTGTACTTCTCTCATGAAGCTAGCTTCTGCGGGTGTCTCAACCGCGGTTTTTGGCATTATGGTCAGCGAATTAAAAAAAAAAAACCCACCAAAAAACCTCCAGGAATAAAAGATCGAAATAAATAGGGGAATTAAATTTAAAAAAAACAAGCAAGCAAAAAAGCATACACCTGAACCTTTTTACTTTTAGAAAAAAAAAAGTTTATTTTCACTTCCGCTTCACTTCGTCTCTTTCTCACTTGTTGACACCACGTGATTTGTTATTTTCATGTGAAGAATATAATTTATAAGTACATTACATACTGTATTGTTGTTTCTCTTTTATTTTTTCCAGTTTGTATTATTTGTATTTGTTTGTGTGTTAATATGTTTTTCTTGTTATTTTTCTGAAGTGTTGTTTTTCCATTTTTTTTAAAATTATAAAGTGTAATATCATTTAATTTTTAATTCTAAGTTGTTCCTAGTTGGGTTTTTTAATTATATAAATTGTGTTATGTTAGAGCGTGTCTCCACCAAAACTGGATGCTGACACTGGAAGGCTGCTTTTGTGTGATTCCATAATTCACAGGTAATATCCTGTACTGTTTCGGGAATTACACACTTTTAGGGTTAAAGTGGCCAATCTTCGGATAGGTGGACACACACCCTTTTTTGTTAATTTTTGTGGTTGTTCTCATTTTGATTTCATTCTGTTGTGAAACCTTTATTTTTTCACGTTTTCACACTCTATGTGGCTACAAATAATATTTTGGCTGCTTAAAACAGAGCACAAGAAATTCTGGTGCTTAGATTAAGCTATCTCTGTCAGCATTATTATTGCTGTACGTCATCACAGAGAGTTGAAGGCTTGGAAATTAATTGCAACTTTTATGAACTTTTGTCACTTTTTTAAAGCAACGTTTGACAAATTGTGGACAAAACAAAATGGCAACAAACGCAGATGCTAGATAAAGTGCTTAAAATAGTGTGTCTTCTAGCATTTAGAGGTGTGACCAGAATTCTTACCCTCAGTGAATAAAGGCTATGTGCAGGTGGAGATTCTGGTGGGAATTTTACAATCTTGACATCCTGGAAACGAGCCCGTTGGGTGAATTTGTTTTTTTGTCTGTCTTCTTAGAAAGAGTTATAACAGCACTTAATTAGCTCATGTAAAAAATGCTGAATATTTGAGGTTTTAAAAGAGAGCAATTAATACAGAAAAGAAGGAGGTGAGATAAAGACGATGAATATTTATTCTGGCTGGAAAGAAGGAGCAAACCACTCCAGAGCATCCGCCAACCACAAACCTAAATTTGAAATGAAATCTGATTTCACCTCGTCAAACCGGCGGGCATGTCACCAATATTCTGACTCGTCATCACGTCCACTTTTCTCAGGTGGTTTGGACATTCGACGGCAAAGAGGACCCCCATGTTCCCCCGCAGATACTGAGTGACCCTAACCGCACGGCCAGACTGGATGGTCACTGGCTCAAAGGTCATGTCAACACAAACGTGAGTGACGTCACTTAAGGGAACAAAATTAATCTACTTCTTTAACCTTTAGAACATGAATTCTGAAACGACGGAACATGACTATTTTCCGCAGCTGAAATCGTCAGAAAACAATAAAACGAACGAAAGTTAAGGTACAGATATTATAAAATAATATGGTGTGGATTTTTTTGTATTGTTGTCACCGGTGGGTTGTTTTGGTTCTTAAATTTCCCTTTTTTTTTTGCACATCTTAAGATACCTGTATTGATTTTTCATTTATTTTACAGGTCGGGTGCAAAGTGAGGGCTTTTTTCTCTGGCAACCAACAGCAGAAGAGTCCGTTCTTGAAGAGTAACACTTACTACGCCGGCATACAGGTATCATCAACATAGATCGACTTAATAGATAGTCAGATAGATACTCATACACACTCACGCAACCACACACACATACACACACACA